AGTAGGGAAGGGAAACCAATATTCATAAGACAGTCAAGCATCTTAGTATTCTTTCCCCTCTTCAAACTATGCCTAGATCCTTATATCACAGAGCCTTGTTGTTCCAAGGTTGAGCATGTATTTCTATTTACCTCTGTCCCATTTAGACTACGCAAACCTGTCTCAGTGTTCCCCTATCTACCTTGTTCTTCCACCTCCTCCCCCTTCTTGTATTGCCCTCCCCAATACCCAAACTAAACCCCCCACCCTAACCCCGCCGTTATGGTCACCTTATTTTCCTTAACTCTTCCCTCCATTTAAGACAATCTATTTTATCCTGTAATCTACCTGACTTTCTCACCACCTCAATCTCTGTTCCTCTCTGTTTACCTTCTGTCACATTGTAATTCTTTTGATCATAGACTGACCTCCCAGATCCTCTGTTCTTATACTTCTATTCTGTTCTTGACTCTTCCATTTGTCGACTGAGTTCAGGGTGTTGCTGCCATGTACGTCATTCTCTGGTTATTGTCTCTTCCTGTTGGTTCTCAGTCCACAGAACTTCCTTTAGGGTGTTTTTCATCGCAGGGTTGGCTTTGGCAAAATCCCTTAGCTTCTTTTTATCCTGGAATGTTTTGATTACACTATCATATTTGATTGACAGCTTTTCTGAGTAGAAGATTCTTGGGTGACAGTTTTTTTTTCTTTCAGGGTTTTATATATGTCTCCCCATTGCCTTCTTGCCTGCATGGTTTCTGGTGAGAGATCTGAGCTTAATCTGACTTGCTTGCCTTTATGTGTTACACTTCTCTTTTCCCAAGCTGCTTTTAGGATTCTGTCCTTATCTTTGATTTTGGAGAGCTTGATTATGATATGTCTTGGTGATTTTCTTTTAGGGTCTATCCGTCCTGGGGTTTGTTGAGCTTCTTGAATGTTTATTTTTTTTTGCTTTTAAGGATGTTAGGAAAATTTTCTTCCAGAAGCTCTTCAGCTATCTCGTCTGTGGACTTGTGTGATTCTTCCTGCTCTGGAATGCTGATAATTCTTAAGTGATTCCTCTTCATGTTATCCAACATGAATCTTAGGTCTTCTTTGAATGTTTTAATCCTTTTTTCTGCTTGCTTGTCTATCTTAGTAGTGTTAAGAGATTTAGCTTCTAGATCACTAGTTCTAGCTTCTATCTCTTCAATTCTACTCCTATGCCTTTTCAGTGTATTGTCCATTTCTGATATTCTATTATTAGTCATTTGGACATCTTTCTGTAGGTTTTGAATTGTTTGTTGTTCCTCTAGTGCTTTCCTGACTTCTTCCTTGTTTTTCTCAACTCCATTGTATAGTGTTTTTAACATTTTATAATCATTTTTCTGAATTTCTTGCCAGGCATTTCCAAAGCCTGCCCATCTTCCAGTATGGAGTGTAGGTCTACTTCCAGTTCATTTGCCTTAGTCACTTTATCTCGTTTCTGGACATGTGCTGATATGGTCATCTGCTTCTGTTTTTCGGGCATATTCAGGAGTTATCTGTGGCCTTAATACTTAGATAGGTGTGTGTTTTGGTATTTTTTATGCTTTCTGATTGCCTCCCTTTCTGATGGGCTTCCGTTTTCACTCTTCTTCCTGATAAATTTCAAGATGCTACTGTTGGTTGTTGTGCTGTAATTCAGCATTTCATTTTTGGCCTATTTCCTGTTTAGTCTGCGTGTCCTGCTCCACTACCCCAGTTCAGGCCTTTTTCCTAGTGATAAACAGTTCAGGGCTGGCTGTCACCATTTTGCACTGCTGTTTGGTATTAAGTGGAAACTGTACCTTTAAATTTTGAGGAGATCTGTGCACATGCGTAATAGAACCCTTGAGAGGTGTGGGTGGGGTGTCCACTCGCTCTGCAGTTCTATCAGGTGTCCATGGCTACTCTGATCCTTCCCCCACTTGGTCTCGCCCAAGATGGCGACTCTGGGAGCAGCTGAGCATCTTGGATTAGAAAGCACTGGATTTCTTGCTTCTGCTACAAATTCCCCTAGCTGTAAGCCTTCCAACCTTCTAAATATTCCTTTATATGTGGTTCAGAGTTCTGGCACCATTCCCTGAGCCTGCTTGGTCGGGTATTCTGTGCTGTTGCTGACGGAGTTCCTCACTGCACTTCTACCCGGTTTGCCATCTTGTTTGTTCCGAAATGTTCTTTTTGATAATAAACGTGATGCTGTTCCTCTTCCATTTGTCATTCTCTGCACAGTAGGCTATCTGACTGTCTGATACAAAATGGGCAATACCATTTCAATTCACTAATACCATATGCATTCCATTTCATTTTTGATGACTTCTGCTTTTCTTAGTTTCATACTTTGTACTTGCCACGTCTCAATTACTAATGAATGTTGGCAGCTCTTTCTTCTCATTTTGAGTTGTGCCACATCAGCAAAAGGAGGTCTTGAAAAAGCTGTCCTCCATCTACATCATTAAGGTCAACTCTATATGAGGAAGCAGCTCTTCCTCAGGTGTATTTTGACTGAGGGGCTCATCTTCATGCATGATATCAGACACTGTTCAGCTGCTGTTCATAGGTTTTCATCAGCCCACTTGTTTGGAAGTGGATTGCCAGGTCCTCCTTCCTAGTCTGTCTTAGACCGGAAGCTCCACTGAAATTTGTCTACCATCGGGGACCCTATTATATTTATCCTGTGGGATTTGAAACACCAGTGGTTTAGCTTCCAGAATCACAAAAATATGAAAGACATCACAGACAAACTAACATAGACGTGCTGAGAGCACACTGTTGTCATTGTAAAGTGCCATCGAGTCAGTTCCAACTCATAATGACCCTGTATAGGATTTCCAAAAAGTAGCTGGTAGATTTGAACCTCCAAATTCGCTGTTAGCAGTCCAGTGCTTTCCTACATTGTCACACCAGGACTCCTGAGACTGCATTGCTGCTGTTAAGTGCCATTGAGTCAATTCCAACTCAGACTCAACCTGTATGGTACCCAGAAGCAGCTGATGGGTTGAACTGCTGACCTTGCAGTTAGCAGTCCAGTGCTTATTCTACTGCACCATATAAAAAAGTAAATTAGCATAGAGTTTTCATCTTGTAGGTATACTGATATATGTAAAATGGCCTTAAGGAAAATGTTATTGTTATTATAGCAAAATGTTGTTGTTAAGTGCCATTGGGTCAATTCCAACTCATAGCGACCCCGTATAGGGTTTCCAGTAAAGTTTGAACCACCAACCTTGCGGTTCAAACTGACCTTGTGGTCTAGTGCTTATCTGACAGTGCCACACCAGGACTCCTATATGTGGTTGCGTTGTGTATAACAAAATACAGGATATATTTATTTTTAAATGACACATGTCTTTTGAAACACTGCAGAACAATTTCATAGTCAGGCATTGTTGTACCAACTCCCTCTAACACCGTCATCCAGTAGAGTCTGTGCCCCAGCACCCCTCCAGTGATGTCACTGCTTGTGATTACTTCAGACCCCAGGAGATAATTCCTATTTTAAAGTCCTTAATCACAGAGTAATGGGCTGGGCTGCTAACCACAGGTCAGCAATTCAAATCTACCAGTTGCTCCATGAAAGAAAGATGAGGCTTTCTGCTCCCATAAAGATTTACAGCCTCAGAAACACTGTACAGGTCACTATGAGTTAGAGCCAACTGAATGGCATTTAAAACAAGAGCAGAAACCACATCTGATCACATAATTATTTCATCACATCTGCAAAGTGCCTTTTGCCTTGTAACATAACATATTCACAGGCTTTGGCAAATAGGACATGGGTATCTTTTGGGAGCCATTATTTTGCTTAACACAGAGTACAAAGAAATTTTGGGGGAGCACGTTGTCTACCCTTTGTAAACAAGGACAATTACAGATTTGCTTGTGAAGAATTTACTTTCTGACAACTCTTGCTAAGATTATTGAGTTTTGCTAACCTGAAGATTATTTGTGGTTTGAATTTCAAGTGTCTCTTCAGATTGCACTGAGTTTATTTGCATCGTTATCTGAAAATCCAGATTTACTTTGCCCATTGAAAACTTGCTTGCCTAGGTGGGAGGGACAGTGACAAACTGCAGTGTACCTAGGGGAAGGTGACCCAATGAAAAGGGGCCCTGGGTTTCAATTCTTAGACATTGAACAAAGGAGCTCCTGAGGAGGACATTTTAAATAAGCTTAAAGTCTTAATTGCTTCGGCTTTCTCTTTAGGGCCAGGGTAAACATTGTCTATAGGAGTAGATATAATAGAAAGGGAGCCTTTCTTTCCCTTTCTAGGTAATATAATTCCATTGGGTTGGGTGCAAAGAAAGCACATGAGCTATCTCTAGCTACACAGAGTGGCTGTGGAAAAGCATTGTCTCAAACAGCCTGTCAATGGCTCCCCAGAGGCACTGGGAAGATTTTTAGCCAGGAACTTAAGTATTGCAGAAAGATTCCTCCTAGACAGATAGGAGGCATGGCTGATTGTGTCAAAGGGTTTTTGCAGCTTGAAAACACTCTATTCTCAACATTCCTGTGGTTATTTCATTTTCTTTATAAAATAATCAGTTGTTTTTAAAGTATGTGAAAATCTGTTAGTCACAATTCGAGTTAATTTACTATCTTAATAAATTGACTCCACCAGTACCCAAGATACAGAAGCCCAAATGGTCAAACCCTCCATGAATGGTTGAAAGATTGAAGTTTGAACCTACCCCGAAGTGCCTTGGAAGACAGGCCTGGTGACCTACCCATAGAAGCCTTAAGGAGTAAAGTTCTCCTCTGGAGCATGTGGGGTCCTAGGATTCAGAATTGACTGGGTGGCATGTGGGTTGGTTTTGTTTTGGGGATTATCCAGGATATATTTTTAAAAGACATAAAAGAGTGAACAAGCAAACAGAAAAGACACCAGCTCTTGGTTGTATTCCAAAGTATGAATATTAATAGTTTAATTTTAGATGAAAATCTAGAGGCAAGTGTCATAGTAGTTCAGAACGTGGGGGTTTAAGGAGCCATTTAAATCACTAACCATTTTGCTTCACTTTCAGTGATGCGTTTGATTTTGAGATTGGCGTGGTCATAGTCAGAATCAGCCAAGGGTTTGACATCTCTCAGGTTCTTCAGGTGCAAGGTATGTACTTCCTTCATTCAACCGGCAAATATGGACTGAGGCAGACGTTGTCCTAGATGATGAACATACAGCACTGCAGCTACAGACAACCCCACATCAATGGAATTTATAGTCCAGTGCTAACCCCGTGGGTGTACATCCCTGCTCAGTGTTCCACCACAGCACACCCCCAGCCCCAGCCAATGCAACTCACCTTAATCCTGAAAACCAGGAGTGTTGAGTAATTCAAGGCGGTCATGGATTATTTTTCCTTTCACAAAAACCTAAAGCCAGTATCACTGAAAAGAAACACCTTCAGTACGATAACCTGCCGAATTAATTTCTGCAAGATGTTTTAGAAAATGAAGATTAATTTTTTCCTTGGAAAAACATGCATTTTGTTTTGAAGTGTCTATGATCTGATTTGTAGCTAACCTGGAAAATAGCCTGAATGTATTGTGTTGTGAATCACTAATCTAAGTAGCAGGCGCAAACAGTAATTTAGATGACTGACTCTGTTTTTTCCTAGTAGAGGATTTGGTATATTTGTTTAGTCTTAGAATTTAAATATATCCCCTTTATATGAAATAATGACCACATCTAAAAGTATTAGGACAGTACACCAAGCTATGGCTTTTTTCATTTTAACATCACAATTGTTGTTTTTAAGTGCTGTCAAATCAGTTCTAACTCATAACAACCCTGTATAGGGTTTCCGAAAAGCAACTGGTAGGTTTGAACTCATAAACCTTGTGGTTCAGCCTGTTGCTGTTGTTATGTGCTGTCGAGTTGCTTCTGACTCATAGACACCTTGTGTAGGGTTTCTGAGGAGCGGTTGGTGAGTTTGAACCACCAACCTTGTGATTAACAGTCCAGTGCTATTCTACAGTGCCACACAAGAATTTCACAATAGGGCCAAAGAAATGCTAATTACTTCTGTGTTAACTTCAGTATTTCCACAGGTAGTTTTAGGGATACCTAAGCTGTAGGGTCAGCACTGGACTGTGAACCACAAGGTCGGAAATTCAAATGCACCAGCTGCTCCTCAGGAACCCTATAAGATCACTATAAGTCAGAACCAACTTAACAACAATGACAACAACTGTTTATCAGGGGAGCACGGTGGCTCTGTTGGACAAGCACTGGACCTTCAAACTGCAAGGATGGCAGTTGGAGCCCACCAGCTTCACTTCAGAAATCCAATGCAAGGTCCCTATGGGTCTGAACCTACTCAACGGCACTTACCAACAACAGCAACTTTGCCATATTAAAAAGGATGAACCATATTCTACATACAAAAAGGAACCATTGAAGGGATTTAAGTGCAGGAGTATATGGTCAAATTTGGGTTTCAGAACACATACTCTTTCATCTCCATTGGAGATGGAGTCACGAGGAACTAGAATGGAAATGCTGAGACAAAACAAAAGATTTTTTTAAAAAATCAAAGCTGGAGAAGATGACAGTCTGAACTGTGGCTTTCTCAATAGGAATGGAGAGAAAAGGGCAGAATTTAGAAGTAGGTAGAAGATACAAAAGGCAGCATCTGGGGGCTGATTGGATGTGTGGACTAAGATAAACGGTGATGCCACCACTGCAAATGGGAAATATAAAAGGAAAAGTAAGGTTAATGAGATGGCTAGCTCTATTTTAAACCAAGCAAGTTGAGAAATCCAACTGCAGATGACCAATGGGTGACTATAGAGTTGAATCTTAGTCTTAAAAGAGAAGTCTTAGTTGGAGATGTAAATTGAGGAGATTATCATAATTATGATGAAAATTGAAACTGTGGTACTTGAGAAAGTAATCTAAAGAATATGTACAGTTGAGAGCCCAGAGAAGGGTCTCAAAGAAGACACAGCAAAGGTGTGGTCAGGGAAGCCATGAGAGTGTAATACTCAAACTGGGGGTGATATAATCAACATTGGTAATGTTGTTGTTGTTAAGTGCCGTCGAGTCGGTTCTGACCCATAGTGACCCTGCACAGGGTTTCTGAGGCTATAAATCTTTACTGGAGCAGAAAGCCTCATCTTTCTCCTGTGGAGTGGCTGGTAGTTTCAAACTGCTGACCTTAAGTTTCGCAGCCTGATTTGTAACCGCTACGCTACCAGAGCTCCTTAGCCTTGCTAATAACAGCTGACAATTCCAGTAAGATAGTGAATGAAGTGTTCCTTGGAATTCATCATTGACATCACAAAATCGTCTTATTGAGAGCAAATTCTGTTAGAGCAATATTGCCAGCATCCAGATTGTAGTGGGTTGAAGAGAGAATAGGAGCCAACAAGGCAAAACATATGGATGTCACCAACCACTGTGAGAAGCTTGGATCCTAAAAAAGGAATAAGACTGAGATTTACTGTAGGGACACCTATAGACCTTAAAATGGGAGAGAAACATGTTTTCAGACTGAGTAAGTGAGTCCAACTGAGTGGCAGAGATTGAAGTTGCAGGGAACGAAACAGGTGGTCTATACATTAAGATCCTTGAGGAGCAAGGAGTAATCAAGGGAAGGGCGGGCATGGCCTGAAAACAGAAAAAAAGCACTTCGTTTTCCAAAATTAGTGCTCATGAGGTATTGCTGATGCTGTACATGAATTTGTAAGAGTGGGGGAGTAAGTTAAGGAAGCTCATGCAAAATAGTCTCCATTGTCTCTTTGAAGTTGGAGTGATGGTTTCTTTCTAAAAGCAAGAGAGGCCCGGTTTATCTGAGGATGAAAGGACACTAATGAGACCTTAAATTAGGCAGGATGGGAAGTCAAATGATTGATCAGCCTCCAGCAGTGAGACTCCAGTTATGACTGTCCAGTTTTCTCTAGCAGCATCTGCTTACCAGTAAGAGTAAGTGCTCTGCCGGGGGGTGGGGGAGTGGGGTTCAGAAGAAAGGAAAGGAGTGCTTGTCTGTTATTGTCTTTACCATAACAGAAGGAAATAGGAGTGGATTCGGTCAGCTCTTTAATGCAACTATTCTGGTGTGTTTTGGAAGAGGTAGAAAAAGAAGAAACTAGAGATCAAGCATTTGTGTAAGAAAGAGAGCCCCCATTTGGTCATGTGTATGCTAAGATTATGTGTGAAGAGCTTAAAAACCTAGTGAGTAGAGTCTACCCTATCCAAAATTGTTGCATAAAGGTTATCTTTCGTGCCTCCAACCTCCCTCTTACAGGTCCCTTTTCTCTTTTATATACCTTTTACATCTCCAGATCAAGTATACTAATTCCTACTCATTGTTATTGATTTTTAAAATATTTCTTCCTGGTAGAATTTAGCCAATTAATAACAAAGCATAGCGTTCTTGAACACTTACTTGTGCCAAGTATTCATGTTCACATATATTATACCATTTCTATTCCCAATTACTCTATGAGGAAATTACCACTACTGTCCCCATGTCACAGCTGAGAAAGTTAAGACTTATCCAAGACTCACAAGGCTAGTAATTGGTAGAGCTGGAATTCAAACCTATGTCTCTCTGGAGCTAGAACTCACTGTTTTTGTCTCTACTCTACCTTTAATAAAAAGACAACTAGATAGGGCAATGCCTTACCTAATGGTGGTAGTGGTGAAACCTGAAATATGGGATTGAGTCAAAGCTATTTCCATGTATTCCTTAAAGCTCCCAATGCAGGAGTTACCTATAGGTGGTAGCTTGCCACTTTGAGGGAGATTGTTGTTGTTGTTAAGTGCCATCAAATCAGTTCCCACTCATAACCCTATAGGGTTTCTAAGGGGTGGCTGGTGGATTTGAAACCCCAACCTTGAGGTCAGCAACCCAGTGCTTATCCCCTATAGCACTGTACTAGGACTTCCTTAAAGGAGATTGGTAGTGATGGTGTCAGTGGTTGTGTGCTGTGGAGTTGATTCTGACTCATAAACCTGCATAGGGTTTCCGAGGCTATAAATCTTTTCAGGAGCAGAAAGCCTCATCTTTCTCCCGTGGAATGGCTGGTAGTTTCGAACTGTTGACCTAGAGGTTAGCAGCTCTACTTGTAACCACTAAGCTACCAGAGGCCTTATGGTATCAGAAGGCCTCATCTTTCTCCCAAGAACTGTTGGTAGTTTTGAAGTGCTGACCTTGGGGTTAGCAACCTGACTATAGCACTAAGCTACCAATTTTTACAAGATTTTAATACTGGCAGGCCTATTCTGATGTTACCTTTTTAGGTTTACTTTGATTTTTAGCCTTTGTATGTTAGTGTTTTTCCACATTAAAAGAAAATGAGAATACAAAATATAACTTGTACATAGAGTAAACATTTGCTTTGCATGCTATGTTGATCTCTTCAAGTTGAAAGATGTGATGTAGCTGAAAAATACCGTGCCCACCCTTTATTACTTCAGACACCAAAATGTACCATTAGTTTAGTTCTACAAAGCAATGCAGTGATTGCAGTTTTTAGTATTTCTGAAAGAATCCTGGCAATAAACTCCATCCCTTTTAATTTCTCAGGAGACTTATCCTATTTAATTCAACTTTGATGTTTGAAATACTTCTGCTTCTTAGCCAAAAAAGGCAAAATACAGTGGGATGCTAATAAAATAATGATCATTTCCAGCATCTAAAGTAAACAAAAAAGCAATGTTAGAAAAGTACATGAACATGTGAAAAAAAAGACAACCACATAATGATAGAAATTAACGTTACGCTACATTTCCACTCATTGTTTTGAAGTTTCTATTATTTATGACACAAACCTCAAATGAAATTTTCAATTGAAAGAAATAAACTTGGGCTTCATTATATTACACTCTAATGTAGGGGTTAATAAGAGCCTGATAAATCTTAAGTATTGCATTACATTGTGTTAATGGTCATCATCATAGTTTCTCCCACACAAGCACCAGACTGTCATCGCAGATTATAATTTAAAGGAAATATGGCAATTCAGAGTGCCCATATACTGTAGTTAATAAAGCAGTGAATAGAAATCAGCTTTATAGGTAATTTACCAGCTAATGGCAATTATTTCTAGATTGTGTCCCAGGCTTATGTGAGGAGAATAACTTTTTATACCAATAAGATTGAT